TTCTGCTCCCCACTCTGTCTCTGGTGGATCCTCTCACCCACCGCATTTCTGGACTGTACCCCAGTTCTATATGAATAAATAAATAAATCTTTAAAAAAAAGAAGAAGAAGTGATTTGATCAAATTCAGGAGAAAATGTTTAGTATAAAAAATGATTTTAAGCTTTTGCCACCTGAGTTAGGGAGACAGTTTAATAGTCTGGGACCAACACTATGACAGTGGCTTGAGGATAAGGACATGTCAGATGTAAAGATACTTAAGAAGTAGTTAAGTCTCCACACTATGGATCTCTCGCAACCACTGCAGCACGAGTTCCATCCCCCGCCAGGGAGCTGACCCACATGGCACAGCCGTCTCCCGGATGCTCCCCTCAGCAGTGTATTTCAGTTAATCCACCTGTTCTGATCCTCACTCTGTCTTGGTGTACCTTCGATCCCTTCACACCTCTGGCCTACATCCCAGCTCTTGTATGCATAAATAAAGAAAATAAATCCTTTTTAAAAAGATATTTAAAAATTAGTACAATTAAATGGTTTAGTATTTTCTAATAATGGATGTGGAAAGAGTAAAGTCTGAGGTCAATCCTTCGTTTCTGACTGGGATGGCTATTACAATAAAATATTGCACTGAATATCTACATTTGAACCCTAAGAAAGTAATTTCCATTTTGGACATAATTGGCTTTATTTTCCCCTCCATGTTCTATAATTAATGTTTTTCCAAAGAACTTTAGTAATATTTTTAAATAATCCATTTTGTTTTATGTAATTTTAATCAGGAATAACAGTTTCTGCTACAATTAGAAAATTTTGAGCTAGAAGAGATGGTCAAGTGTAATTACTTCATTTCACATTTTAAGAAAACTGAGTCTAAATAACCTTAAAAAGATAAAATTCTCCCTTCAAGATATGTTACCAAGACTATGCATAAAAGATCTTTCCTGAAAGCAATGATTCATATATCTAGTTAAGATCTTTCTTTAAAGAGTATAAATTCAAATTCCAGTAATTTAAGTTTTACAAGTGAAATTTTTAACTATGGAATTCATTTTTAAATTGAAAACCAAGTGGTGCTACTAATATTAAATTCATACTATTTATTTACATCCAGTCTTCAAAACAATAACGTGCCACCATAGAACTTCTCACTTTCATCTATTTCACTTGAAGTTTTTAATGTACAGTTTGTAACCTGTCCTAACAAGGATTAAAATATTTGTGGAGGGCCACCCTGGTGGCACAGGGGTTAAGTCTCACCCCTGTCAAGCTATCCCAGCACTTCACCCTGAGTTCGATCCCCGGCCAGGGAACGACCACCATGGCACAGCAGACCGCTCATGTGTCACCCACTGCTCCCCTCAGCAGCGGATTTCAGTCCATCTGCCTGTTCTGCTCCCTACTGTCTCTGGTGAATCCTCTCACACCCCCACCTCTGGCCCACACTCCAGTTCTTATGCATAAATAAATAAAATAAATCTTTTTAAAAAAAAAATATTTGTGGAACTATTTCCAGATTTACAAACTTTATTTTTCTACAAAAGATCTTGGCAAAAGTTTCAAAATATCATGTACCAAAACAAACAGTAAATTATACTCACTTCCCAATACATGTTAAAATGTTTTCATGATTTGTCACTCTGTTTTTTTCAATATCTTGTCACTACAAATTTTTTGATTTGGTCTTTAAAAAGATTTCAGTTTTTAAAGACATTAAGGAAAAAATATGAAAATTTTGTTCCTCCTTAGTAATTCACTAAATGCTTTAACAGGAATAGGTTTACATGTCCCTCAGTTATTAATCTGGCCAAATTACCTTTATTCTGATTACAGAATAGACAGCCTTTTCAGTAATTATTTTCTACTAAGTGAGAAAAAGAAAATTTCCCTGGCGTATGAACTCTTATTTCATACAGTTCCCTCTTGGAGGAATCATGCAGTGAACATAAGCCATAGTTTCTGTCTGAGTTGAATCTCAAAAAGAATCCTGGATGTCCCTCTGGTAGCGGGTCTATGTTCCACAACATTTGATGAGCACCTATGGTGTCTATTTTGGATAGATTTGTCCAAAAATGCTATATTGGTAACACAGCAATCATTGTCATTATTTCCAAATTGGTCAGTCTATGACCATAGGTAAGCAACCTAGATTTGGGAAGTTTACAAATAAACCACGACATTTTAAAATTTCAGCAATGTGAGTACAAATTACATTTCTCAGAACAAACTAGCCACTGTAGGGTCCTTTGTTTTCCAAATGCTGAGTATTTCTGAATGGTTGTGATTCAGTGTTCTCAGTTCAGTGAGCATCCCTATGAGACGAGGAAAATGCTGTAGGTCTTCTGGATGATAAATTTTTGAATATTTGTACAAAATTTGTAAGATTGGTTCTTGTAAATTTTCCACATGTTGCTTATTGTTAAGGCATGGTCGATCTGAAAAACATCACATATATCTTAATGAATACAAAAGAATGGTAATGAATTCTATTAAAATAATAGATTTTAGGGCCCTCCCTGGTGGCTCAGTGGGTAAACGCAGCACTAAGAAGCTAAAGCCACTGCAGCATGAGTTCGATCCCTGGCCCCGGAGGTGACCCGCATGGTGTGGCAGACCTCTCCTGACCTGCCCATTGCTCCCCTCAGCAGTGTGCTTCCTCAGTCAGCCTGTTCTGTTCCCCACTCT